TAAGTTAAAATGAAACTATTTGAATGTTGTCCTTGAAGAAGAGAAGATCAAGACACACAGAGAACATGCATAGAGAAACATCAGGGATTCAGGACCCAGGGGTGTGCACACGTGGAGAGGAGGCTATGGGAGGACATAGGAGGAGGTAGCCATCCACAAGCCAAGAAGCCATGAAACCGGCTGATAACTCAGTCCTGGACTTCCAGTTTCTAGAACTGTGAGAGAGAAAAAAGTATATTGTTAAAACCATAAAATAAAAACTGTTTTATTTTGCTATGACAGCCGGAGAAAACTAATGCATTAGGTTAGGCCTCACTAGGAAGATGCGATTTGCACGGATATTTGAAGGGGAATCTGGGGGAAGGATGTTTGAAGCAGAGAACACAGGCACAACGAGGAACCCCCCAAGTCAGGATCTGGCATTAACATTTGAGGAGCAGCAAGAAAGCCCGGCCTCCCAAAACTGGTTTGTCTCAGTGGATAGAGGGTCGGTCTGCGGACTGAAAGGTCCCAGGTTCAATTATGGTCAAGGGCATGTACCTTGGTTGCGGGCACATCTCCAGTAGGGGGTGTGCAAGAGGCAGCTGATAGATGATGTTTCTACTCTCTATCCTTCTCTCTTCCTCTCTGTAAAAAAAATCAAAAAAAAAAAAAATATATATATATATATATATATATATATATATATATATATATATATATATATGAAAGAAAAGAAAGAAAGAAAAAGAAAGCCAGGCCTCTGAGGGAGAGTTAGATTATGAGGGAAGTAAGGACATCCATAAGAGCAGAGGAAACAGGATAACAGGCAACATTCAAGCAGGGCTTAGAATCTTGTTATGAGGACCTTGGCTTTTGCTCTGGGTGAGACAGGGAGCCATTTCAGGAGGAAAATAATGGCAATGCAAATTGTTACAGCCATTTTGATTGATAGATAGATAGATGATAGAAAGTTAGATAGATACATAGATAGATAGATAGATGATAGAAAGAGACATTGATTTGTTGTTCCACTTATTTATGTATTTACTGATTGATTCTTGTATGTTCCCTGATGGGGGATTGAACCTGCCACCTTGATGTATCAGGACAATAATCAAGACAACTGAGCTACACAGCCAAGGCAGAACTCAGATTCTTAGAGACTAATGTGGCCAGGAGCCAGTGTGCAGCCCAGGATGTATGCTTTTAGGGATGGGGTGCAGTTCAACTTATCAGTTTGTGTGCATGTGAAAAATTGGTTTCTCCTGCCAGACAATAGATAAGTGATGCCAGAAATGAAGACAACTTCTAGAATTATGAGGTAAGTGAAAGAGACTAAAAAAGTTCTTAGCCAGAAAATAGACCTTTTGGATATTGTAAGAAATGTTAAATTCATTGGTGATTAGAATTTATGAAATAAACAAGATGGCCATATGTTCCTTATGAGAATTAGTAAAAGCAAAACTTGTGAAAAAGATTCAATAAGTGTTTCAGCCAGGGCAGGAACTGCTCATCAAGTGAGAGTTGGAACATTTACAAATAATTTTGCAATGATATGAAACTACATGGTAAGGGAAAATGATATATTATTATGGCTTTTCTGGAATTTTCAAGGGTTTCAGGGATTCTCCTTCATGATAAAATATCTATTGTCATTTAATAAGCTCATAAAGATTTGGTATCTTCCCAAACAAGACATGAAGATCAGCCTATAAAAATAATTAATTGGATAGGATATTAACATTGTCAGAATTTAATAGGACATCCTGTCCTATTGTTGAAGTACTCATTTCTCTCTTCTTTTTTCAGAAATCTTCTTCATATTTCATTTTCATCACTGTGTACTTTTGATCCTTTCCCCTCAAGTCTCCTGCCAGGAATTTTCTGATGGAAATGTTTTATCGTTAACAAATGCCTTACTGTTTAATGTTCTCTCTGAAAGTTCAGAAAGTGACATAGACAATGTCTAATTATTAGCTTGTGCATTATGACCAGTGTCAACATTGTTCCAGCTTACATAATTTTATGGACAGAATGTGTTTTAATTAAATACCATCAGACTAATTTACTTTGGATCAATGGGCAAGCTATTGATAATAACAATTATAAGATGATTGTGTAGGCAAAGCCTATTATAGAGACAAATCTGTTTCATCTAAGCAATTAAAATGTAGCAGCATACTATCTGATATATTAACTGGAATGTTTCATTCTTGGCATCCCCTTGCACCTCTTGCCTTTCCCTGGTTCAGTCAGTGCTGTGCCCCTGGTTAATAAGTTAAAACATTGCCCTGCCACATTTGGATGAGTTGATCTAAACTCAGAGAATAAGAGTACAGTCCTTAACTTTGGCATTTTAAAAGCATAGTCTTTCGAATTGGAAAAAGATAAACTCAGGCATTTTTTCTTAATCCTGGAAATAATTCAGATGGTCTGGACTGAGGGATGGAAAAGGATAGTTAGAATGGAAGCAAGAGAGCAAAGGTCTATGTCTTTGAGAGGGGGCCACTATTCTAAACCTATGCCAGACTGGACAGCCTTCGAAGGGTATGGAATGGGTGAAAGAACATTAGAGAGTTTTAGGGAAATGGAAAGTGGAGAGACATTTTGCTCTGGGCTTCTTGGGTAGAAACCAAGAAAGCAGCAAGATGCAGGTTAACTGCCCCATGGGGATTGCATTTAGTCATCCATTTCCTCATTTGTTTGCTTAGCATGTTTTTTTTTTTTTTTTTTTTTTTTTTTTTTTTTCTGCCTAGCTAGTGTTAGGCACTGTGGTTGACACCGGGAATACCAATGTGTAGAAACATTGGCCTAGGAGCAAAAGCAATTGTTCAACAAACCTCTTTGCTCAGCTGATGATACTTCCATCCCTCTAGTGTTCAGGGCAAAAACTTGGCATCCTCTTCAACTCCACTTTCTCTTATGCTCTGTATCCAATCCAAAAAGAGAGTCAAAATATATCCAGAGTCCCAATACTTCTCTCCACATCCACTGCTGCTAAAATACCTTCAGTGGGGAGCTCCTTGCCCCAATCTTTCTCCTAAGAGTTTGTTCTCAACACAACAACTGGAGCAATCCCTCTATAATCTCAGTCAGGTTATATCACCACTTCGGTCAAAACTCTCCATGAATTCCCCATTTCACTCATAGTGAAAGCCCAAACTAAACCACCCCTCCCCATTGCCTTTTTGAAGGCATTAAAAAAAAAATAAGAAAATATATATATATTTATGACAATATTACGGATGTCTTCCATTTCCCACTCCCCTTGTCCTCACCACCTAGCCCTCATCCCAATTGAGACCTTCCACACACTTAAAATTAAAAAAGAAATTTGTTTATTGAGGAGAGAGAGACAGAGACAGAGAAGGAGAGATATGAGAGAGACACATCAATCGGCTGCCTTCTGCATGCACCCTACCAGGGATTGAGCCCACAACCTGGACATTTGCCCTGACTGTGAATTGAGCTGGTAATCTTTTGGTTCCTGGGATGATGCTCAGCCAACAGAGTCACACTGGCTAATATTATTCCCCACACTATTTTTTTAATTTTTATTTTTAAATGGAATTTATTGGCTTGACCTTGGTTAATAAAATCACATCAGTTTCAGGTATATATTTCTATAATACATCAACTATATATTGTATTGTGTGTTTACCAATCCAAGTAAAGTTTCCTTCCATCACTATTTATCTGCCCTATGCCTTCTACCTCTCTGACCCCTACTTCCCCTCTGGTAATCACCATACTGTTGTTTGAGTCTATGAGTTATTGTTTTTCTTAATTTCTTTACCTTTCTCACCCATACCCACAACAGCCCTCCCCTCTGACAGCTGTCAGTCTGTTCTCGATGAGTCTGTTTCCTTTTTTTTTTTAGTTTATTTTGTTAATTAGATTCCACATATAAGTGAAATCATATGATACCTGTCTTTCTTTGACTGACTTATTTTACGTACCATAATGTTCTTTAGGTCTATTCCTGCTGTTGCAAAGGGTAAGATTTTCTTCCGTTTTATGGCTGAAAAAATATATGCACCCCTGTGTTCATTTCAGTGTTATTTAGAATAACCAAGATTTAGCCATCTCTTGCTTTTTTTCAACCTGGCTCACTCTACTCAGCCTCAGTGGATTTCTTCTCTTTCTTAAACAGAATCACTCCTGTCCTCAGTCATTTGCACATGTTGTTCCCTATGCCTGGAATGTCCTTCTTTCAGCTACCTACTTGACACAGTTTCTCACCTCTCTCAAGTCTTTGCTCAAATATTATCTTCTCAATGAGCTCTGTTAGATAAGCCTATTCAAAATTTCAAACCAACCCTTCCAGCCTGCACTCTTCATTCTCTTCAACCTACTCTACTTTACCTCTTAGCACTTATTAAATGCTAACATACTATTTAATAAAACTGATTTTATGCTTGATTTTTATCATTTATTTCCTCATTTCAGAATGCATGCTTCAAGAAGCAGAGATTTTTGTCAGTTTTATTCACTGAAGTTTCCTAAGAGTCTTGAACAAAGCCTAAAACATAATACCCCAATTTCCCAAAAAATAAGACAGTGTCTTATATTAATTTTTGCTCCCAAAGATGCTCTAGGTCTTATTTTCAGGGGATGGATTATTTTTCCATGAAGAAGAATATGGTACACATTTATTATTAAATGAAAATAAAGGAAATTTATTACCTGTATAGGGTATGATAGTACGGAAGTTGTCAACACAAACCAGACAACCTGTGAATCCTACAGTATCAAGAATTTACTCATTTATTCAATGACAATCATGTCATCATCTTCTGGAACATCATCATAATAATCCAATTCCTGAATTTCCTGGTGAATTTCTTGTGACTCCATTTCTTTCAGAATCAGTGGACCAAATCTCTCATGTTTAGCAATAGCATTCTGAGACAGAGCTTAGGGAGGGCCTTATTTTCGGGGGATGCCTTATATTTCACTCAGAAGAAAACCTGTAAGTAGGTCTTATTTTCGGAGGATGTCTTATTTTCAGGGAAACATGGTAGGTATGCAGAAGATATTTGTGGTTGAAATTGTTGAATTAATTGCTTCATAATATAGTGTAGAAAATAATTCAATGATTTCTCAAACACTTAAAAGTAGCACAATTGTAGTGGAAGGTGTTAGTCCAGGGGTTCCCTGACCAGATTAGGCAAGAAGGTGGACTCTCAGAAACAGCTGGAGGAAAAGTTCAACCTGAGAGATTGCAATATTAGAACAAGGGGTATTACAACAGCAAACACTGCGGATGGGCTTTTGGGCCTGAGAATAAGGGTCACTGGGGTAAAAATGTAGAGCAGGGAGGACAGTTGGCCACCAGCAATCAGAGAACTCCTACCATGCAGTAGCACAGTAAGATTCCAGTTATTTAAATACAACTTTGGATAAAAGGCAGATTAATTTTTCTTTCCAGGCAGAATATGTGTTTAAAATAAAAGTGATCCAACATATATCAAAACAACTTGTCCAACTTCTGTAATTCCTCGGTAGACTTGACCCAGTCAATTACATCATAGCAAACATATGAAGTGTAGTACTAAAAAAATGAATGAATAAAGCAGAGATAAAAAATGTCTGCCTTATTCCATTTTCCTTTGTGAAAAAGTCAGTTTTTCATGTCATGCACTGTTGTCTTCTTATTCAGATTTTCAGATTGTGACATAATTTCTCAGAAGCCTGAGGAGCTATATTAGATATTTATCCTAATATCCTGCCATTGTCTGTTTCAACAGACATAGTAGCATTTTTACCTTACAGACAATTAAATGTAAAGTTTGCTTCCATTTATGTTTTTCAAAAACCTTACTAAATACCTACCATATGTGAGATTTTTCTCTACAAATGAAACACAGTCTGAATTGCCAGCAGCCTCATGGATTTCTTCATCTGTGTTCCACTGGGACATCAAGAATAACATGTCCAAAATAGAACTTAACCTCAACCTCTCAATCTACTTCTTCATTCCATAATTTGGCTAAAGTCATCATCCCTCTTGTCATCCAAGCTGGAAACTCTGGCATCCTTCCAGAACAGTGCTATTCATAGTGTGGTCTCCACATGAGTGCTGGACCAGTCACCACTGTAGCAAGATGAGGACAGAAATTGAAAGTAAACATCAGAAACTTTTATCAGGTTAGCATTTTTGAAACATCCTGGCACATCGCCATTTTCTTTAATTTCACAAAAGTAAATAATGATCCACAATGGTTAAAAATTCTTAAATTTGACTTCATCAAGATAGTTTGGTCCTCAACTGCTTCTTGCCTCACCATTTATCAATGCTGACATGAATTCTGAAATATCTCCCAGATATAGCTTAATTTTAATCTCTTCTTTCCTTAAATTTAGGCTCTCATTTCTTACCTGGCCTATGATTGCTTTCCTTCTCCTTAAGCCTCTCCACTCCTTCTCCCACCATATATTACCACATTGCCTCTAGAGCAATATTTGAAGATGTAAATAGATCATATGCCTCCCTCTTTAAAATCTGGCATTGTTCTCTGCTAGCCACAGAATGAAGTACATGTTTCTTTGCATGTTTTTAAGGTTCTCCACAACCTGGCCTTTTTCCATTTTTCAATTTAATTGTTCACTCTCTGCTCTGTATTCTATACACAATCCAAATCAATTTTATTTGGGTTACTAAACACACTTTACTTGTTGAGACCTCTGCAACTTTAATCATTTCACATTGTGTAACTACTAGAAACCCAGCGCATGGATTCATGCACATTGCAAGTAAATTAATTAGAAGGTGGCCGTAAGGTTAGGACTGGACAAGATGGACCAGACACACCCTGGAACCAATATCCCACTAAGGGCATCGGTGGAGTGAGTGGGGTCCCTCTGGAAGGTGGGATCCCTCGGCCTAGCCTATGGGGATCAGGCTGAAACTGGCAGTCCAAGAGTCCAACATCGCCCTAGAGGTCCCAGAGTGCGAGAGGGCACTCTGCAAAGTTGCTGTTGCTTGGCAGCTCCCTTGAGCATCTGCCCCCTGATGGTCAGTGCACATAATAGCTACTAGCTGGTCACTTATGCTTTTATATATAGATAGATAACTGTCAGCATTTGCTCCTTGAAAAAATCCTTCTTTTCTATAATACTCCACTCTACAGGAGCAAATTGAGATTGGGATAATATCAGCAGGGCAAAGCTCATTGGCATATCTGTGTCAGAAATGAGTATAGAGGGTAAGCACATCAGAGTGGGATAAGAGACAGTCTAAAGCTTGGGGTGAGGGATAAGCCTGCATGGATCTGGGAAACAAGAAGCAAATCCTGTCTAAAGAAGAATAAATTTTGGTATTATTGAGGAGAAAATTTCTGAGTCAAAAGAGATGCCATGTTACTCACCAGAAATAAATCTAGGGTACTAAACAGGATCCAGACAAAGATGCTAGCTGATCTCAAACAAAAGCACTCCACCTACACAGGTCTGCCAGATGCTTTGTTGATACTCTTGTTGGTTTTGACTTCCATATGTCTATGTGCTGAGGTTCTCATTCTGGGATGCTTTATGTCAAAGACTCAAATATGGTCTGTTCAGTCACATTCTCTTACCCTCTTAGTGTGTATGCTTATACAATTATTAGCTGTTAATTCACTGTATTGTAGTTATTTATTGCAATATTCCCCCACTCTGCTAGACTATGAGGATCTGGAGTACAAGAGTGTACCTTATTATCTTCATATCCTTAGTGCCTAGCACAATCCATTGGCATAAAATCATCATTTGAAAAATGTTTGTGAAATGAATTAAGTGAATATACATGTGCTTATTTAGAACATTCAGGAGTAAAATTAGAGCATCATGTTTGGTTGTCCTTTAGCTGGCTGCATAATTCATTGGAAAATCTTGGGCAATGTCACACCAGGGCAGTGATCTTTTAACCTCAAGTTTCCAATTAACACTTCATAGAGAAATTTAACCTACAATTATACACAATACCATATTAACCTGTTTTGGGAAAATAAACCTAGGACTAGATTCATAGGAGGAATTAAATTGTCCTGCTTATAAATTAATCTAGTTCAGAGGGCAGCAATCTTTTCCTGAAGTAAGTAGATATATTAGGGTTTGTGGGCCATACAGTCTCTGGTTCAGCTACCCAATTCTGCATTTGTAGTGTGATAGAAACCACAGACAATTCATAAATGAATGAGTTTGGTAGCGTTCCAATAAAACTTTATTTACATGAATAGGCAGTGGGCTTGAGTTGGTCTGTGGGCTGTAATTTTTCCACTCCTTATCTAGTCAATACTTTGAATACTTTATTTTCAGAAGGCATCGGATGAGGGCAAGAGAACAGACAGATAGCTCAACTAACTTGAGTTAGTTACTTGAGATTAGTTATCTCATTTATTCCTTATAGAAGTCTGCAAAATATATATTATCTCATTTTATGGATGAGAAAAGTAAATTGTTCAAATTATTTAAGTGGCTTTTTAAGACCACATAACTAGTAAGTTATGAACTCTTGATTTCAACCAGATCGAGGTAACTATGAAACACACTTTCTTTACTAAATGCACGTTCTCCACTTCACTCTAAATTGATCCTTTGTTGTAAGAGATGTAAACTGTGACAAGTTTCAAGTTGTCTTTTTATCCATCAGAAGAGGAATGACTCTACTGTGGTAATAACCCTAGTTATCTCAAGTACATGAAGTACCAATGTAGGCTTATGAAATACAGCACTTCAGTGAAAGGAGTTTAGGTCTTAGGTATTGTGGGTATTTTTTATTTTTTATTCTGAGAAGATTTAGTTATTTTTCAGAGGAAGTATTCCGCTCACTCATTCCATGTGTTCATCTCTGGTCAGCAGGGCCTTGTTTCATATTGTCCTTTCGCAGACTCAGAATGAGAAAGACCATGACCTAAGAAATCTCACTGATACCTATGGCAGGGGGATGGGAATAAAGCAGATCATGCATATATTTTATAGGCTTCTGCCCAGAATTGATACATAATAGTTCTATTCATTCTTCATTGGCTAAAGTAAACTAGATGGTTTTATCTGCTTTCAAGGGTTCATGTAGCCTGCCATGTACCCAGAATGAAGAGAGCTATAAATACAACTAAATAGCACTAATGAAAACTAAGACTTTGGTAGGAAAATTAATGTTTTTGCTAAGCAGATTATATGTCAAAAGTTTTTGTATCTGGAATTTTGCCAATATGTATGTGGGAGAAAATGAAGGCCCATAAATACCTTCAGAACATCTTAATGTTAATATCACTTTATGTATTAATTACCAAAACATTCATTTCTGGCTCACTTATTCCATCATATATTTGGTTACTGAGCACCTTCTCCAAACATTTGGCACTGGGAAACAGAGGCATTCTACAAATTATTGAATATTATTTAATACCTTGTAAAATTATCAAATTAAGATTTAAAGATAATTTAGAATGCTTAGAAGTAACTGTATGACAATAAATACTGTTGATTCTTTTATATGGAAAGACTGCATATAAATAATATTGCCAATTTGTAAACTAATGGTATTTAGGAAATTAAATATGGATAAAGCTGTCTCTTTGCATGTATTCTGTACAAAGCCAAATCATGTCCTCATTGACCCTTGTACAATTTTCACCACCAGAACTGGGTCCTTTGATACTATGTGTAAATCTATCTGACACTATATTACTTTAGAAGTGAAATCAGCTCTGAAAGAGGGTTTGAATTTGACCCACTGAGCAAATTCTAGCCAGGAAGGTCAATGTTACTACCTGTGTCAAAGCCCAGGATTCCTTTGAAGTATCTTGTCAATCTCCAGAGAAAAAAGAGACCACAAAGGCCATAGAAGATGAGAAGAGGTACACATCACATCTATAATATGAAAATATTGGCACAGAAACATGTCATGACTGGTAACTAAGTCCTTTGGGATTGGTGGTAGCTATATGACCCCAAAGTAGGTAGATACTCAGACTTTAAGGATATTGTAGGGTGTCCTTCCCTGGATTTCAGATAGCAGAAGAGAATCTCACCTTCAGGTATTCTTTGAACTAGGCTAGTCCAACTTAGACTTAAAATTCAATCACTCAATACATGTACAGCCCTTGTGTGATGTGCTGTGATGTGGGAGTCACAAAGAAGAGTAATGCATTGTCCCTGAGGCTTACAAGGATAAGGAGAGAAAAGATGTGAGCATGACTAGATAACAAGCAACATGGGAAATTCTATCTAATATAAGGATAATACGCACATTAATTGTCACTTCACAAAAAATGGCCATACCCATAGTCACAAGATGGTGGCACCCAGTCCTCTCAGCTCCACCATAGTCCCCCAGTCCCGGGAGAGGGGGGAGGGGGGACAGGAAAGTGGGGAGGGCACTGAGAGCAGACAACATGAGCGACCTGGTGGAATGCTTGCTTCGTCGCCCCAGCAATGAAGCAAGGTTTCTGTGCCTGGCCGCGGATGGGCCTCTGGGCTGTGGAGAGCCTCTGGGCAGTGGGTGTGGAGTAGCCAGGCCCGGCAGGGAGCTACTGGCACACGGATTTGTGTGCAGGGCTACTAGTACTTAATAAATGTCTGTTGAGACCAAAAGATCTTGTTTTTCTATCTCTTATTTTGTTCTATTTATTGAAATACCATATATCACTTTAAGCCCATCCTCTAATTAGCCTTCTAGGATCCTGCTGAAAAGTGATCTTTCCCTATTTTGTAGCTTCATGGCACTATTTGCTACTCTAATAGAATTAAGATATTTATTTGTGTGTGTGTATGTATATATATATCTTAATTACCTTACTCAATGGCAACACTTCTGGAATATAGCAAGTAATTTTAGTCATCTTACTTCTTCCTGATGTCTATTTTATGCTTTATCTCTAGTTGGAATCTAATAAGAATTTATCAAATGAAAAAGTGAATACAACAATTCTTGCAAAATGAATAAATGAGAGTTGTAATAAGAACTTAAGAGTATAAAGTGATCACTTCTTCTTGGAATGATGAGAGAACGTTTTATGGAAAAAGTATTTGCTTGCCTTTTGAGATTATTATAAAAGTAGACTTCTTGCTAATATATCAAATTCATGGCATGGAAAAGAACAAGATTTATACATTTCTGAAGAGACATCTATAGGTATTATTATGTTACCTCTCCCTACCCTCTCATCACCCCCGCCACACACACACACACACACACACACACACAAAGAGAATTTCTAACTTGTAGGATTTAGTACAGTACCTGGCACTAAAGATAGTCAATAAAGTTGAATAAATTATTAAAATGCTTTAATGAAAAAAATAATTCAAATATATGCTGTTAGTCAACAATTCATAAATTTAACAAAACTAAGATTTATTAAGACCTCTGTATAGAAAATTTCACATATACTTTCTAATTTAAATCTCTTGCAACAATGCTATGTGGCTGATATTTATTCCCAACATGTTTATAGATAAAATTTTCAGCTCAATGAAATCAAGCAACTTACCCAGGTCACCCAGTAAGTAAAAGAGTAGTGCTTCAAATCCAAGTCTCAGGATCTTTCTATTAGAAGATGTAGATAAAGCAGATGACTTATTCCCTGTACCTCTCTCTTTGGCTAATTGGTTCATACTGTGAAACATCATTGTTCTTATTTTTAACCTTGTCTGCCATGAAATAAAAATTTCTTAGGCATAACTGAAGAAGCTATCATGGACCTTCTTTTGCAGGCACGGGAGTCTCCCACCTCATCCTAAACCCACTGGTTTTAGAGAAGTATTCATGCAATCTTTTCATCTTTCTCCCTGCTTTATTTCAAACTTGTTTCATTTTTACATTAACACACCCTCTGGTATTATATATATATAAATGAAATAAACTAAATTCAGTGCTTCTTGGGCATCCTGATTGGCCAGACCAGATGGAATGATTTCTGAACTAGAAATGAAAATCAAAACACAAGTTCTTTTTAAAGAGGTGGAAGTTTAGAAACAACTGTTCATGTCAGACTTAGCTTTTATCCTCAGCAAATTTGGGTTTGTTTTCAAGCCATGTTTGATGATGGAATATTGGAATCTTCACCTTTGAGCTATATGTATGTGTCACACACCTAGATTGCCCTTGGCAAGGAGGGGAGCACAGCTAGAGCTAAGCTGGAGTTTTGCAGGGCAATGTGGCTGTTATTATTATAGTCACATTGGAAGTGACGGTTGGTTTTGCTCCTAATTTTTAGGAGCCTGTAAAACAGAAACCAAGTGATGAAAAGTCCTTTTGTTGAACAGGTTCTGGGAAGCCCCAGAAGAACAAATACTGAAGAGAAAGCAATTCATGCTAACTTTCAAGCACTTGCTATGAACTAGACTCCTTATGCTAGGAATCTCATTTTATCCTCTGAATAATCCAATCAAATCAGCATTACAATTCCTGTTTTACAGAGGATAGTGAGAGCATCATGGTCATGCAGCTATGTAGAAAGGGGCTAATTAAAAAAAAAAAAAGTAACTCTAAACCCCTTAATTTATTGCAACAACAATTCTGAACTCACTACCAAGAGTTTACATTAATCCGAAGACAGGTTTCCTTTGTTATGAAGCATAGAGAAGGAAGGACCTAGAATATATCTCTAAATGAGGAGGGCCTCAAGATATCTAATGTCCTTGATGTTTTTCCTTTCCATTGAGACTGGACAAAAGATGTCATATGATAGGACAGTGTGAAAACAACGAAAGACATATGGGAAGCATTGGTACAATGGTTAATACTGTGTATAGGATTTGGATTCAGAAAGATTAGAGGTATTGACTTCTATATTTTCCCCCCAGCTATTAATATATCTATCTCCTCCAAAAGTGTCCTCCTCTTCTTATGGTTGTGATTTTTCTGTAAGAACACTTAACATAATATCAATGGTCTATAATGACAGAAAGTAAATTAGTTGTTGTCTAGGATTAGGGTGTGATGGGGGTATTGAGGAGTGACAGCTACATGGTATGAGGATTCTTTTTGGGATTATGCAAATGATCTATTAATAAAACAGGTTGTGGTGATGGTTGCATAACTGTAGGAATACTCTAAAAACCATTGAAATGTATACTTTAGTGGGTGAGTTGAATAGTGTGTCAAATATATCCCAATAAAGCTTTTACAAAAACTAATCTACCCTCATAACAATTGTAAGAATACAATATAGCATTGTGAGTTCTAGGCAGTATGCTACATAGATCTCCAAAACTTACTTAGCTTGTGTAACTGAAATCTTCTACTCTTCAACCGTAGCCTCCCCATTTCTTCATCTCCTGGCTGCTGGCAACTACCATTTGGCTCTCTGCATGTCTATTCTAGAATTTGTATGTAATTGACATTAAATAGAATTTATCTTTCTGTCAGGCAGGGGGCATAGCCTCAGGTTCCCTGGCCCAGTGCCAGGACAGGGGGTGTGACCTGAGGTTCCACAGACCAGACCAGGGCGGGGGGCATGCCTTGAGGTCCTCCGTCAAGCCCTGCCAGGTGGAGGACATGGCCTGAGATCCCCTGTCAAGCCCCATGGGCAGGGGGGTGCATCTCAGGTCCCCTGTCAAACTCAGGCCACACCCCTGTAGGCCAGGGGTGTGGCTTGAGTTTCCCTGACTCAGCACTGGGGGGTGCACCTTGAGGACTCCCATTAAGCCCTTCTGGGTGGGGGGTATGGCCTGAGGTTCCCTGTCAAGCCCAGCCAGGCAGTGGGGCACAGCCTCAGGTCCCCTGGCCTGGTGCTGAGGTCGGGGCATGGCTTGAAGTCTCCTGTCAAGCACCACTTGGTGTCGGGGGGAGAAGCCTGAGGTCCCCTAGCCCAGCACCAGGATGGTAAGGCACCTTGAGGTCCCCAGTCAAGCCCCATGGAGGCGTGGAGGGTGTAGCCTCAGGTTTCTGCTGATTGCTCATTAAGGCTCCTTATGGAAACTTGGTCTCAGCTGTGGGTGCAGCCATTTTTGTGATGGAGTGATGGTCAATTAACATATTTCCACTTTATTAGATAGGATTTTAATTCATGAACATTGGATGTCTTTTCATATATTTGTGTCAGAACATAATCCTCATTAAGAACTATTAGTCTAAGTGTGACAAGCTTCATTATTCAATGTTTCATAGTTTTTAGTAGTCATATCTTTTACCTTCTTGGTTAAATTGATGCCTAAATATTTTATTCTTTTTACACATTACTTCAAAATTAATGCTTGTGAAATTTTGAGGCTACACAGTTGCAAATAATGTGAATTTTATGATATGCCAATTGTCTCCCAGCTGAGGTTGAGCAAGGCAATACTTGACTTCCATTTCAACTCTCATGTTATAAACTGTCTTTTTTGTGGTCTGTGTAGTGGCAAGTTTTTGTGCCTTTCTTTGGTGTCCTTGGACTTTAAAATGGCCAATAAGCTTAATGTTTCTAAGTGTAAGAAGTCTGTAATGCACCTTACAAAGAAAATGTTTGTTAGATAAGGTTTGTTCAGGCATGAGTTAAAGTGTGTTGGCTGTGAGTTCAGTGTTAAGGAATCATAATGCAATGCATCCAGCAAAAGGAAGAGGAAGTTTCCTATCTGTGTGTAAGGTCACTCTGGAAAGTACTAAGGCAATATCCTTAGTGAATGATGCAGTTTAGAAAAGATGAAGATGTGTGTGGCCAGTGTGGTTCAATGGTTGAGTGTCAACCTATGACCCATAAGGTCATGGTTAGATTCCTGGCCAGGGCACATGCCCCGGTTTGGGCTTAATCACTCGCAGGAGGCAGCTGATCTATTATTCTCTATCATCATTGATGTTCTTCTCTCTCCCTCTCCCTTCCTCTCTAAAATAAATTAAAAATATATTTTAAAAAAGAAAGAAAATATGAAAATGTGAATAAATATGTGGATTCATGAGATGAGTTTTAAAAAGCTTAACCCCAAATATTTCTGTCAATGGTCAAAGGATGCTCCTTTCCTCATCATTAAAATTACACTTTCAGATTATAGTGTGATCTTCTAAAGAATTTGTAAGTAATTGAAGCAGGTGAATTTATTGGACTAATTATTCAATATCAGGCAGAAAGTAGTCTTTGGGAAATATATTATAGGAGAGGTAGATTTCAGCAACTATATGGGCCACTGTCTCAGAGTCTACTTTCTTACTATATTATTCATGGGGCAGTGATACAATCGAGATAGATTGTGCAGTTGGAGGAGTCCTGGCACCCAGAAGGGGCAGGAAGGCTGTGAGCTCCTATTATGGGTTGGAGGGCACAGTTCTGGAAGTGAGGAGAGAACACATAGGTGGGCAATGAGAGTCTGAAAGGACAATTTACTTGCTTGCTTTATTTTACAAGTTTTCCCAGAATACTGTTGATGTTTATAAGAAGTTATTTTATTGACATGCCTCATACAATGAAAATTCAGTCCATTTGGCTCAAAACCATAGTCGCGATTATTTACAATTTGTGCTAAATGCCATTTGTGTTTTATCAAATTGGTTGATAGTCATTAATAAAACAATTATCCACACTGAAAATGCGTCTTTTAGAAGAATGTTAAAAAAACAATCATAAAGAACATAATCCTCATTAAGAACTATTAGTCTAAGTGTGACAAGCTTCATTTTGTCTTAGAGCAAACAGAGATGTGATTTGGTATTTAGTCAAAATAAATGGGTTGTGACACATTCCACCCTTTAAAATGTTCCAAGGCTGGTGGGATAAAAGAAGATCTGCAGATGGTATGCTGAGCAAAGGCATCTAATGAACATAGCGTTGCCACGTAGCAACAGCATTAGCATTTCATTTGTTGGAATGCATTATTTGAGTTTTCCATTTTTCAAAGGATTTATGCGCTGATCCTTATGCAACAGTGTAATTAATGATTAAAAATGAACAAAGGCTTGAAAAATATGACTTATTAACAAAGGTTACAAGACCTGAAATGATTAAATCTGGGAGAAGGCTGGCAGAGTTATTTAGTCAGGATTTTTCAGTGCCTGAATGAGGACTGTCCAGAGGATAGTAAATAGCTATTCTTTCTCTCTGTGGAATATAGTAATAGATTTCAAAGGATGCCAACCTGAACTACAATAGGAGTTATTGGGGTGAGTTATGAGAAATTCCTGCCTATTTGGCAGGAAAAGACTACAATAATTTAGCAAAGAAGATGTACAGTCTCATTCCCCTAAGAGTTTCTTCAGTCCCTCCCCTCAAATTAGAAGTGTATAGTCCCGAGAGGTATAGGAACAGTCATACCTGAAGATAAGAGGCCAAATTATGTTTTCAAGTCTGTGTTTTCAATAGGATTGCCTGTTGCAGTCTGTGTAGTGTGTTCAATGCTATATAAGCTTACTACTATTATAAGACTGTATGGCTTTTTTCTTTTTATAAGAAAGATCTCAAATTAGAGGCTGGAAATGTAAAAATAACAATTTTCTCTGCCCCGAGGAATTCTTAAAGCATATTCACTTTTCTTGCTTCCTATAACTACAAGTTCATAATCAGCCAAAGCAATTTTATTCATAGTTCCTGGTTGGCTCTCTCCCTCTTTTGTCCCCCTCCCTTTTCCTCTCTCACTAATCTAACCCATGCAGAGTGGTTACTTGAGGGAATGGTTTTATGAATAAAGACTATATCCTTTGCTCAAGAGCCTCGGAGTGTGATTATAGAATAAAGCTTTCATTTTGAAAGTCAGAACAATATACAGCCATAAAAGCAGCAGTAGTAGAATTATTTTAATTACTGCATGTAGAAGCGTAAGAAAGATTCAGACAAACACAGCACTAACTTGTAAGCTTCAAAGGCTACACTGACTAATTGTTCTGTGTTCGTGCCACCTCTTGGGATAAGTCACAGAGTTTATTTCTGTGCCAGAT